TAGCTACTGCAGAGGGTCAGTCTCCAAGGACTAGAACTGAATCACCCAAGGAAGGGTAATAGAAGCGAATCCTGCAATAATGTTCATTTAACTATATTATACTGCATTAATTGAAGACTTCTGTCTCCAGGACTGAAAATCCCATAAATTAAAAAAAATATATATTTTTAAAACAAGTTTTAAAAGTATTCTGATCTATAAATTCGTGCATATTTGAATTTTACTTTGAAATCTCCAGCTACCCAAAATGACAGATGAATAATAAGCTAATAATAAAGTTTAACTCAATATCGTTCTCATGTCTCTGCAGATACCAGCACCAGACAGATTTAAAATATAAAATCAAAATTACTCTGATTGCTTTCTGAAATTATATTCATGCTTTTTAATACATGCAAATAACAGGGGTATTTTTATTCTATAATATCTTTTTAGAAGATTACAGCCAAAATAATATTTAAAGGTATACTGAGTCTGAAAGAATAGTACCCTTAGTAAAAGCAGACAGGCTTTGAGAACACTTGCAAAACAAACAAAAATATACATGTAAAGGAAGCTATTCCAAGCCTATGTCGATATTACATGTTGCTGATCTTGGACCATATTGTGCCATCAATTTTTAAGTAGAACTTGGAAATTATTTCATTGATGGCTCCTTAACAAGCAGTTGGCTATTTTATTTCTGCTGACAGGGGATTGAGAAATCAATTCTCTGAAAGACAGGACAAACAGTTAACACTGTATTCAACTGCAAAGCCAGGTCACTGCACAAAGGTGAACTTACCAACTGTATGCAATGTGGGCTTACGCAAAGGAAAAATTATAATTAACAAAGAACACAGGTGCGAGAAGGTGAGCAATCAAATACCAATCTCAGATTTAAGAACTGTTGACTGATACAGACTTACAATTTTCTTCTTTTCTCCTCCTAAACCTTTTGGAGATTTCAGACTACCAAGTTACAGTTGTGGAGGCTTACTGATAAAGAGAATCCTCTAAAACAGACAATTCATATTTATGAAATAAGAAGAATGACTTCTACTTTCAATTAGGTTCCATGAAACACACAGTGAAATCCCCTTTGATGCCAACAATAAGTTTACACAGGTCACACGGAGATTATAGCCTCTCTGAAATCAGTAACTTTTCCTTAGCTTTCATATTAAGGTTATTTGTTATACTCAGCAAACTACCAAAGGAAAAACATACTTGACTACGATCAATATTATTTCTTTTCTTTCCTCACCTTCTTTCCCTAACCTTATATAGTGTTCTTCCTCAACACATCTCAAAGTGCTCTCAAAAAAAGTGGAAAGAAATTAAAAATTCAATTCAAGTGCTAGATGTTTTTGTTCAGCAGGGAAAAGCAAGCCAGTGAAAGGTCTGAAAGCGATACAGGTAAGAAAGCTTGCTATATCTTTATCTCAATGAACCACAGAACTTTCACAACTCTCAATCAGTTAAAACTCTTAAGAAATTCGCAAGTGTCTTCACCTTACGTTACTCCCAAAAGGATGGGAAAAGGAAAACAATGAAAACGAGGGAGACCAAAATTGTGCCTTAAAAACAAAACAAAAACCAAAACAACTTACAAATGCCAAGTTTTTTCCCTTGCAACCTCCCAGTTTTCCTGAAAGGGAAAATGACTGGGAACACTCAGAGCACAGACAAGAGCCATTGTGTTGCGCACCTCTGCTATGGAAAGAACAGAATATTAGCAATGGCTATGCATTATACTGGTAAATAACTTAAAAAGGCAAATCCTGAGAAGTTCTCTTGCAGCCACTCCCCCCCCCCTTTTTCTTTTTTTTAAGACAACCTGTTTGGAAAAAAGTATTAATTCCAGTCTATACTGTCTCTTAGTGACTTTTCTGCCCTGGAAAGAGGAAGCCTTGAACAGTAGCCGCAAGCCGCATGGAAACAACATCACAAATTGTGCTGGACAGGGAACTCTCTCTGTGCCCAACAAGCTAACTGCAAAATGCAACAGATTTGGGAAGTGCAGAATGATCAAACAGCCAAAATACATCCCTACCATTTGGCTACTGCTTTAGGGCGGCATAATCTTTAACCGTTTTTTTCACCAATCCCGTATGGTCTCTCTCCTAGACCCGTAAGTCATTTACCGCACAGTTAATCATGCAGTGTACTATATAAATGCAACCATAGGCCTTCTCTGCAACACAAAACGTTAAAGGAAAAGAGGCAAAGCAAACTGTTCAGGAGTGCCTCACAACCCAGTGACTGAACATCTAAATAAACCCATCTAGTGGCTGGAAAAGCCCAAGAATTGCTGTTACAATCTTACAACTAATAAGTCATTTACCGCACAGTTAATCGTGCAGTGTACTATATAAATGCAACCATAGGCCTTCTCTGCAACACAAAACGTTAAAGGAAAAGAGGCAAAGCAAACTGTTCAGGAGTGCCTCACAACCCAGTGACTGAACATCTAAATAAACCCATCTAGTGGCTGGAAAAGCCCAAGAATTGCTGTTACAATCTTACAACTACACAAATCTATTTGTAGAAGCTGTGTAACTAGGCCTAAGGGTTGATTTATCAGGAAAAGAAAAGTAACCAGGCAGAGCTTTCACAGGCCTTTACCATTAAAAGAGTCCATTTTACTAAGGTCTACTGTCTACCTTACAATTCAAGCATACAAGTCACAAAGGAAGACAAGCAAGAAGGTCCAAGATCAGCAGGACTCACAGACGTGATGCCCCACAGCACTTCCCTGAAGAGATTCCCTAGTGACTGTAGTTCCTACATGCAGCCTTTGTCTCAAGGGGAGCATTAATTTGTGCCTCTCCACTCTGTTCAGCCACCTCTTTCCATGAAACAAAGGGATTTAATGCCTTTGAAACCTCTATTGTTGTTGACAAACTCAGCTGAGACTAGTCAAGTGTACCAGCTGTTACTGAGAACAGAACTGGCGGAGCAACACGACTTCAAGAACCTTGTGTTTTCTGTGCATGTGTTCATAAAGAAAGGATAAAAAAAAAAAAAGAATGACAGGAAGTGTAAGTTACAAACACAAGATGACAAAGTCATTTTGATGCATGAACTACAGATGAAATAATAGTTAGGAGACTGAAGGAAGAGGTAAAGAGAAGGATGAGAAACTGAAGCTGGGTAAAGACAGATTAATAATGCAGATTTTAAAGTTTTCTTTAATTAAAATTACATTTCTATAACTGAGTTTTTTATTAACTGTCTCCCTTGATTTGAGAATAATCTGACATTTTCTGTTTTCAAACACATACCAACTTCCTGTTGTTAAAAAATGAGTAAGAGCAGCTCTGCCATACAACAGTAACTGTACCTACCACCCTTTACCGTTACAGGATGACTATTAAGAATTTTATTTGAAACACACTTCAGTTATGTCTCTTTGCAATCACAAAAGTGCTAACTTCTTCCTTAGCACAGGAAGAACATAGAATATGATATGAAACCCTCAAAGCATCCAGAGAGGTACACTCAAAAACTGGACAAGAACATCTCCATCACGAGGAGCTGAGCAAAGCTGTTTCCAAAGACAGCCACACAAGAAAGTAAGCAAGAAGAGCTCAAGACTGCGGCAGAACAGCATCACAACACTCCTCATTTTCATCATCTCATACCAACGTAAAATTTAGCCTTAGACTGAACTTTGAATTTGCTATGGACAGGATTTTTGCTTGCCCCTTTCTTTAAGATGAATTAAAAGGTGAAAGACTGTGTGGATGCTATTTGAAACTGTAGACATAAGCTACAATGTTCCTCTAAGCAGGTGCAACCTTTTGTAAAAAGATAAAAATCACTGCCCACATGTACCCAAGGCTGGGTTGACACATCTCAGATAAGACCTTAAATGAAGCATACCTGCTTCTCTCTCTCTGGGCTTACGTGAAAGCCTTCAAATCATCCAACAATAGCTATTTTTCCTGGCTTAGGCCAATCAGGGAATAAAATACTTTTCAAGCCAGACGAAGACTAGTTCTTCACCAACAGAAGCTACCAAAGCAGTGCTTTTTAACACTGCATCATGAAGATGAACATTTTGGAGAGGGATGTTCACTTTCAGTTCCTATTCACTTCCAAACACTAGGTAGGGCCAACAAATTTCATTGCACTTCAATGCTGATAAACTAAAACACCAGCGCTGATACGATGTTTTTCTTACTACTTGCTATCTAAAAAGCCATGGGAGAAAACAGTATTTTTTACTACTTAATCGTTAAGCATAAATAGTCTATTTCCACACTGATACACTGCTGTAATAATTAGAGAATGCGCTTTATATACCACCTGAAATGTTTATAGATGATTAATGAAATAAAGAAAAATTAATAACTAGACTATTGGCGAAGTGTAGCAGACTCAAAAGTCAAGTGGCAGTAAAATAATCATTTACAAAAATATACTTTGAAGTTGATAATTATTATACATTTCTAATTTACAAAGAAACACCACTACTACCCTGTGATAATTGAGCTCATTTAAGCAGCTTTCCACAACAACATTCTAAAATTAATTTCAACTAGCAGTCTTTATTTAACATGCACTAAAAGACACAAAGTGTAACCACACCAAGAAAATATGTTCACCTGGTGGCTACAGGAATACTAGTATCAACATCAGACTAGAACTTAACAGCAAGAATAATTCAGAAGTGACTGCTGGACTTTGAATTACAACTAAACACTGATGTAAGTTCGACGAAGCATTGGCAATTCTCATATAAAGCTGTGTCAGCAAGAAAATTACAGTTAAATTTAAGAAAATTACAATTAGCTTTATCAGTGAAATCTTACACTGTCAACACAGCAAATAATTCATTCTAGTAATTTTTCAACTCATAATAACAATTACTTTAAAATACACATAAAAATAGTAGTAGTGTTTCGTATTATACATGTTGGAGATCAATAACGATACCCAACACTACAAAAATTTCAATTCAATGCAGAGAGTACTTAATGACCTATTTTTATAGGTCATATACTTATACTTACATATTCAGGTTTTAGTTTCTTGTCTCCTCCTCTTACAGCTACTTTTTCAAGCTTGTCTATACTCTGCATGATCAGCTCCTCATCTTTAAGTCTAAGTTCCTCATGGATTATTTCAATGTCACGAACAGGATCTACACTTCCTTCAACATGAGTGATATCATCATCTTCAAATGCTCCTAAAACAAAAGAACACTTAAATTACATATTAAGCTAAAAAAGACAAAAAATATATATTTACAACATACTATTAAGAGTCAGAAGAGTTTGAGATGAAAAAGTAAAGTAAGTCTGTCATACTGCCCGTATACAAGTGTCACCTGCAATATTTTATATCATACTGTTTTAGTCTGTTAATTTACGTATCAACTCCAGAATCCAAAGCTTATACAGATACATACAAAGCATAGTTCTTTGCCATTTCAGGATAGCACTTAACACATCTTTAAGAGTTTCTTCTGAATAGGAACAGGCTAGAGCACTTTCCTGAAAATAGGTACCACTGTATTTAACAGTTTCTAACCTAGCAGTAGCAAACACAGTAGCTAAATTGAACATTGCAAACATTTTAATACATGCAGTAATGACTAAAAGATTCACGGAAAGAAAACCTTACAAATCACCCCAGCAGCCCTCACTGACTGACCAATTTTATGCATTAAGAAAAAAAGAAGTTCTAGACAAAGAATTCTGAAGTTCTGAATGACTCTTAGTGTTTCCAAGGGAAACAGGGCTTAGAAAAAAAGGCCTGAAATCATCTGGCAGACCTCGTCCCTGTTTCAATCTACTTTACCACTGTGGTTCTGACGGTGATTAGATAATGAACCACTCAAACACACAATTTACACAGCAGCTAATTTCATCGGCCTGATTTGAGGGTATGGTTTTTAGGGGGCCATCAAAGAAGCAGATGAAGGTGCATTTGTCATATATGAGTGACAACCATTCACACTATCTGAACAAAATGGTGCTGGCCCTTATTAGAAACACATGCTATTATCACATATTTAAAGTGCAGTTGAAGCCATAATTTCAAATTGCCAACTGGAAACATAAGGGTAAAACAACCAGATATTACTGAAACATGTGTACTGACTTCATGCCCTTCTGAAGACAATCTGGCAACATAATTCAACTAGGATTTAAATTATCAGATAAGCAGCATCACCAAAAAAACCACCCCACCTCCAAAAAAGTCAATACATATTTTAAAAATAAAAATATTAACAATTAAAATGAGTTTATTACTTATTTGTGGATAAATTTTCAGAGTATTTGCATGCCTATCCTGTAACATTAAAGATATGCCTGAGAAACCAACCACAAAAATAATTTTATTGTCATATTACCAAAATGAAAATCAACTGATTTTTTTACATGGGAAAAAAAACCCCAAAGCATTTCTTCTACTAAATATAAGATAGGAAACAGGGTAAACTACAAACAATTCCTTAACTGATATACAGAAAGTTGGGGTTCTTTGTTGTCATGCACATCTTAACTTCATCTTTTCTTTTAACTTACTGAAAACAGTGGTTTTAGCAATAAAGATTTTACATCAAAACACACAGTACACAGGTTTAAAATGTTGTTGACAGTCAAACGTCAAAATCATTTTCACACAAACTTATGAAAAGTCTTTAAAACAGTGGTTACCAGAAGTTCCCTCCTCTCCCATCAGCTGCCTGTCTCCAAAGATCACCAATGAGCTCCCTTGATACAAGGAAAATCACCTCAGCAACAGATCCAACTCTGATGCTGGCCATGACAGGAGAACAGGCTGCTCTGTCAAATGGAAACTCACTACGCTAACCCATACCAACGCCAGGCAATTAACGAAGAGATACTGTAGCCTTTGCCTTCCATAAATCCCAATCTGCGCACCTGAACCAATGGGACATGGGCTGTTCGGATGAACAATTACTAGAAAACATAATTTAACAGCTCTGTTCTGATTTACAAGGAAAATACTGAATAAAAAGTGGGGAAAAAAAGTAGGAAGATGTCACCATACAGATCAAAGAAAAGTCTACCTGCCCAGCCTTCTCAACAGATGAGTAGTATTTAGGCAGCTAAAAAAGTAAGTTTATTTTTCTTCCTTGTATCAAGAAAAAAGTGTCCATTACCATCTAAATAATACATTCTCAAGTTGTTTACATCTTCCTTCTGCATTTGGTGTCCATGGGTTTAAAAAACAACAAAAAACCCCCACACTGTTAAAGCCAGGAGAAAAGCTCCATGACTATAAAGATCTCGCATTCAGAACATACAAAGTAAAGTAAACAGCTTGTTTTGGTATTAAGGAAGAATGAAGTTTTTCTGAAAAAGCAAGTGTAAGGTGAATTAGTAATAACAAAACACAGCTTATATATTAGTTATAATTTTCCATTTTTTTCAACAACAGTAAAATACTTCTTCAGCAATTATCTTCATTTCTTCACATCTTTCCATTCCTTTTCACAAAAAAAATCCATTTCTTTACTCATCCAAAACCAATTACTTCAGTGTAATTCCACCCCTATAAAACTGAATCTATATGTCACCTTCGCTCTCTTCTCAGTCCACTAAATGCTTTAACCCATGGACACTTCAATGTTCTGCCAGTTTTCTTCAAGCCTCCTTCTCCCGTCAGCTGTCCTCATGCCTGTGTCAGCAGCCATCCTGCAGCTCATTTAGGCAACATCAATGACAAGAGACCCATGTCTGGCAACAGGCCGTTGCTTGGTCAGGTAAGGAGCCCCTCTACTGAGCTGATGATTTCCCATGCAAGGCAACAATTTAGCCTTCTCTCTTCCTCACTGGGTTGCTTGACTCTTCTCATGGAAGAAACGAACACTAGTTGCATATTCCATTAAAACGCTGGATTTTGAGCTTGAATTTTCAATTCTACATTTAGAGGAAAAGTGCATTTTCCTATCTTGGAAAGGAGAAAACCTATCAGCAGGTGTGCTGACAAAGGTCATACAATTCCCTTCTAAATAGACAGGAAATCCATTAAATTAATCATGGCAGGTTTTTTTTTTCCTTAAGTTATCAAGAACACTTAGAGGAGAGAAATTTAAATCTCTTCCCATTGAGACAGCCACAGTCCATAAAGAAGTGGTAGGTATAAGATTTTGTATACACAGAAGGCTAAACTGGCATTAATGTCCAGATTTTGGCATAAACTGAGAGACTCTTCTTGACAAGCAACAGGCATTGAGCTTTTTTTTTTGTGAATCTCTTGTTCAGGGTTTGTCAATGCCAACTTCAGTCATCAACCTAAAACAGCTCAGCCTCTGACTGACAGCCTAGCCAGAAGCAAGACGATGGGACACTCAAGGAAGAAGGAAAGGAAAAGGGAGAGAGACACTGCTATGATGAAAGAGCCTTAGTTATAACTTCATCTCAATATCCATGTGGGATGTATCTTGGGCAATCCATTATGCCAGCCTCAAGCCTGCTTTGTAATGATAATCTAGCACAAATCACATTGAGCATTGTAGGGAATTCAATTCTGGTCTGCAGAGCTGAATGCAGACTTAGCAACCAGGAACTGGTGGTAACCTTCGGAATTAGGCTCTGTGCGAGAGATGAGATCTCTTGGAAAAAGTACAACTGTGAGAAATTAGCAAAGTTAAACTATTAGAATAACATTTTCCTCAGTCCCTGGTTTAAAAAATAGTCTATATAAAAATGTAAAGTGGTAGGAAAAAATAGAGTTGTAAAACCGATTCAAGAAATAGGACGTACCAGAAAACGTGTATATTTTTGCAACTTACAAAGATGAAAGTAACTATAATATTAATCTACAAATCTTACCTGATATAGATTGTTTACAATATATTGCTATTTATTAATATGTGTCTCTGCCTTTGCTTTATTAGTGAGTGAAATTCCTCTGTCAAGCAAGGCCTTTAACTCTCTTTTGTTAGGGAAGATGATATGATAACCCCTCCTTCCCTCCAGCACACACAGCAGCAAAACAGAAAGCTCAAAGGCTCTATTTTAAAATATAACAAATAGGGGACTAAGAATGACATCGCTGTCCAATTAAAGATAGTGCAACACCTGTACGATGAACAAGATGCACAAGGTGGACATAGGCCATGAACCTTGAGTAAGCAGTAGTATAAGCAGTTGATATAGAGCACTATGTAAAAAAGCAGCCTGTTGAAAATAAGAACCACCCACTAAAATACGCTGAATTGGAAGAAGCAGGGAGGATGGGAGGTAGGTCTTGAGATGCAAGATAACAGCAAACTGATGAGAATTTCAGTTTTCTGAAGGAACAAGTAAGATTATCTTCCGTATCACACAGAAAAAGTATACCAATTAGTTTATGGACATGTAGCGCTCTGACGAAGGCAAATGAAAAATAAACATTGACAAAGAAATGTTGATATTGGCTTGGCTGATACTGATCACTGATTACAACAGAATCAGTGAGTAAAAATAATGGTGAGAGGGAGAAAAGGAGACCTGGTAGTCTTATTTTGATCTCAAACTGATTACTAGCTCGAGAGAGCTTGGGAGAAAAAGGAAGGGGGAAGGGTTCCCTGAAATCAAACCAACAGGGCATCCAGGTGAGGAAGAAAAGGACTAGAATGGGATAGTTGCAGAAGAACAGAGAGAGCAAACACGGTCATCTGTCAGAGATAAAACCCATTCTGATTATGGGCTGATTATAAGCTGTGTTTAAATATGGTAAACTTCAAACACAGCGTGTCTGTCTCCTTATTGACATAATGAGGGTTCAACTTCTGTAAATATGAGGGACCTTTCCAAGGTTAGAAACTTGTGTACACACTATCCTCTGCAGCATACCCACACCTGCCAGGCTACTGGCTACTGAGCTCTGTGTTCTAGCTTCCAAAGTTTTCATTTAAAAAAAAAAAAAAAAAAA